ACGCGTAGAGAGAGCGAAGCCAACTGGTCCAAATCTGTGTAACATGACATGTTGTACGTAATTATCTTGTCTTTTGGGGCTTGAGAACGCAATGATTGAATGAGACAATTTGACACGAGAACAATTGACTTTGTTCAGTAGCCGCCAATTTGGACCACTGTCAGATTTATCATAAAAGGGCATTTGTTTGCTGTTTGCATTTTCAATTATTGTGGAAGCAATAAATGGTGGTGGAAATTATAAATGGTTGGGAGATGATGGATTTGTAATTCTTCCGTGGGACATGGAAATTAGGAGAATAATGAACAGCCATTTATCTAAATCATATTTTTAATTGGTTAATTATTCACAGATATGCATTTATTACAATGATTATCACCGCTGTCATAATCATGAAGAAGATGTACTTGGAGCGCGCACAATACCACTTTTCGTAATAAAATTTTCATTCTTTATTTTATACTATATAAGATACATACGTGATGTAATTTCTCCACGTCAATTCTTAATACTTTTATAATTTTTTATCATCTTACTTATCTTTTTAAAAAATATTTAGTATAAATTACACTATTATCAAATTAGTATTTTAGAATTGATTCTAATATTACTTATTATAAATTTTATAATTTACCATCTCTTTTTTAGCATATTTGACATAAAATTATAACATATATACATATAAATAGTTATATTTATGTATTTTTAAAAAATAAATATATTGATTTTGTGACATCCTGTTCTATATTAGTTTTTGAGAGAAATTTGTTATAGTATATAAGAGACTAGAGACTACTACTGAATAATTTGGCTTAAGCATTTTAAGCCAGTAGTTCAAGCTCAACAAGTTGCTAGGGCCAGTAGTTATTGGGTCGTTACAAATGGTATCAGAGCAAAACGATGTTCGGACATGTTCTGTTTGGATATGAATATGAATTTCTGACTTAACGAGGACGTCAAGTGTTTAAGTGGGGAAGATTGTGACATCTCGTCCCACATCGATTTCTGAGAGAAATTTGATATGATATATAAGAGACTAGAGATTACTACTGAACAATTTGGGTTTAAGCATTTTGGGTCAGTGGTTCAGACTCAACAAGTTGCTAGGGTCAGTAGTTTTCGGGTCGTTACAGATTTTAAATATTTCAAAATGGTGTATTTAAAAAAAAACATTTATTTAATGTCCTAATTAAAAATTTAACCTTTTTAAAGTAAGTACGAGTTAATGCATTTTAATAAAAAAGTATTTTTTCAAAAAATAAAAATGATAATACGGGGGACACCCATTATTCTAGAAACTGAGAGGGGTCAAATGGGTTCGTACATTTATACATTGCACGCCAAAATTGTAATCCATGCCAAAAAATAAAAAATAAAATATTGAAATTTCTATAAATAAGAATAAATACAGATGGCTGAGGGTATAAGTCAATCACAAACAAATAATTGATATCTGCTGTTGCAGTACTAGCTCACTGTTTAAATAAATAAAAATGTATAAATAATATAAATAACGCCAATACTAATGGCTATATAGGAGACTCTATTCTCATGGAGACTATTAAATTATTAATTGTACGAGCGAGATATTGACTTTTAATGGCTTATTTAGCAATATTCAAAAGTTGCTTTTTTGACAAGGCCGTTCTTCGCAGAGAATAATGGAATAATTATAATTTCTTTAAGGGAAGCGATAGATTGTTTTCTTTCTGGGACCTATTTGAAAATACTTTTAGAAAAATCAAAATACAAATAAAATGAGAATTTATTGTGGCCTTAAACCATGCAACTTCCAATTAACCCTTAAATGAAAAATTAGTGAGAAATAATGAAATATTAACTCATGATTTATTCGATATTACAACCTTAAAAGTTTTATAATAAAGTTAAAATTAAAAAAACGAAAAACGATGTTTACAAAAGCGTGCCCACACAAGTGCATGAAAAATTATGTAATTTTTTAAGTTAAAACATTAATTTAATTTAATAAATCTTGCCATGCTTACATAAGCAAATGGCGACGGCAAACTCCTGGACAAAGCTTGCCAACCAAGACAGCCGTCTTAAGAATAATCAAACAGTAATAATATAGCAAATGTTGAATTCAAACCTTAATAAATCAAAAGTTCATTTATTTATTCTTTTGAAATGCAACGGACCTAATCTCCTCGTTTAACCAAAATTTGCATCATGGGGAATTAAAAAGGGAAAAAAATTTCAATTTAAAATTACAGTTTACATAAAAAATAAAACTTTTTTTTTTAAAAAATGTAATGCCCACCGCTCATTGCCAAATTAATAAAGACAAGCACGACTCCGATCGTTATTTGTAGATGCGTACACTAGCAGTTGGACCACTTGGTAGTTGGTTCATTTACGTACGCCGGGACAAGTCTTTAAAGTTTGTCATACATATATATGTCCGAATCAGATCACGTGCCTCGGCTGGGATCAAAGTGTGTCTGTTTCTAATGGAAATGGATGTGATTGAATTAAATATTTTAAATTACAAGATTTAAATTATTTACGATAAAATAAATTACCAAATTAAATGAAATAAAAGAATAAAAATGTTTTAAAGTGAAAAAAATTCAAATTCTCTAGTACACATTCAGCAAACCTTCGAAAAATGGAAAATTTATTAGCAACAAAAACTATTTACTTGGATAAAATTATTATTATTTTTTCTACACGGGGATAGAAATGTCATTTACAATATAATGGATTTAAATGCAACATGTTTTATATTGAAAATCAAAATTGCATATCGATCATTATAGATTCATTTGCACTTTGCACCCCCAAAATAGGGTGTTTTTTATACTTTGCATCATCTAATTTTAAATTTGGCACTTTGCACCCCAACAATAGTAATTTTTAACACTTTATACCCCACCCCAACAATAGTAATTTTTAACACTTTATACCCCAAAATTTTAAAGTTTACATTTTGCACCCCAAAAATTTAGGTTTTTAACACTTTACACCCTAAAATTTTAAATTTAAACCCAAAATCTCTTAAAATTATAAAAAGTGCATCATATATTTGATCACTTATTAAAACTGATGATAAATTTAGAATTTCATGTAAATAAAAAGTAAAAAGATCGTAAAGAACTTAAACCTTTTATTTATTTTTGTTATTTTTGCTCTATTTAATAAATTTTAACTCAATTTATACACATATTAACAGCATATGAAAGATTACAAAATTTAGTACTGTTCAAAATATTAAAATTTAAAAATTTAAAATAAAGTATTGATAAAAAAATATAAAAAAATATTTGAAGTGGCTACAAATTAATAACTAATAATTATTTCTATATAAAATACAAGACAAATTAAGAATTACAATAACTACTTCAAATAATTATTTTATTTCTTAATTTGTTTAGATATTTTATACAAAAATAATTATTTGAAATAGTTATTGTAATTTTTAATCTGTCTAGTATTTTATATAAAAATAATTATTAGTTATTAATTTGTAACCACTTCAAATATTTTTATATTATTTTATCAAAATTTTATTTTTAGTTTTAAAATTTTAACATTTTGAACAGTACCAAATTTTTTAATTTTTTATATGTTGTTAATATGTATATAAATTAAATGGGAGTTTATTAAATAGAGTAAAATAAAAAAAAATGAAAGATTTGTGTTATTTATGATTTTTTTACTTTTCATTTATATAAAATTTTAAATTTATTTTTAATTTTAATAGTAATTAAAGATATAGTGTATTTTTTTATAATTTTAAAAAATTTTAAAGTATAAAATGTTAAATTTAAAATTTTAAGGTGTAAAATATTAAAAATTATTATTTTTAAAATATAAAGTGACAAATACAAAATTATAAGATATGAAGTATTAAAATCTTATATTTTAAGAGTAATAAAATACAAATGGGTCGATTATTGTAATTTCTTTTTCCCTCTCTGTGTCCTGGCTGGAGGTTTCTCCCTCCACGTCTCTTCTTACAGGCTTATAGCTGTTGATTTTCGGCGATCAGTCCTGTCGAACGCGGGGGGTGTAGGGTACTGGCAATTCTTGCAGGTCCTCAATGTTCAAAACCTGACATACTTCGATTTCTGTATTCTGAACTACGCCTGCTTGACTTGGTTCTCTCTGGTTAATCTCACAACCCAGGTGAGTTTTTTTAAATTTTTTATTCTTCGATTTTCTCTCATGGCCGTTTCAGACACGAGTCATGCGGTGGTTTTACCTGCCCCGAATCTTTGTATGGAAGTTATCGCCTTCTTGCTTTTTTGTTTTTTTCCCCTACTTCTCTTTTGATTCTTTCGTATTTAGCTTTTCACTTTTCGGGAAGGCAGTTTGCTTCCCGCCTTCTATCAAATAGAAATTTACTATATTGCAAAAAAGTTTTTGGTTTTCAATTACCATTTTCTTCGGCTCAGTTATCAACAGTATTTTCAATTTTGTTAGCGTAAATCGAGCGTATAATTCCCATTTCGAGTTGCAGAGTTTGCTGAAAAGTTGCTCGGCTTTTATGGCGTCTTTCTCCTTCTCTCCTTACGTTTTTCTTTGTTTCTTTCCTTTTCGTTTGTGTTTCCGGAACTCGAGCCATGGATGATTTTGTGGCACCATTCTCAGAGAAATCTCGTGGGTCTTTCTCAGGATAATTGCAGGAATCTTTTTTATCTTATTCCAACCTAGAAGATTTAGCTTATCAAACAATGAAATAATCAACCCAGTAAAGAAGTGATTGATACAATCTTACCGATTTTTGTCTCTTCCCAACTTATGCTGTCTTTATTTTATCATTTACACTAATTACTCGATGAAACCAGAAAGTGATGTTGCTTTTAATTGAATCATTCAATCATATCCGAAGTCCAATGAAATTTTAGTTATTTTTATTTTTTTTTCTGGAATTAAACTTAACATATCTTTTTGATTCTTTCATTTGCAGAGCCCTGGCATATGGAGATTGGTGAGTTCGCGAACATGTCCTCTTCTTCCTGGGTTACTTCTTTCTCATGCTCAGGCTCTGGGTAGAATCTTCAGAGGACACGTCTATTTTTTATTGGCTGAGATTCGTTTTCCTCTCACCATGTCCACAACGAGCCCTGCTATCTACGGTTGATCTACTCTTTCTACTTGTTATGCTCATCTTTGCAATTCAAAAGCTCTACTCTAGATTCATTTCCCCGAATCACCCCAGTTCCGAGATAAACAAGCCTCTCATCAGAAACAATGGGGCTGTCCCTGGAAGCACCTTATGGTTTAAGCTTTCCCTGATTGTGACTGCGTTATTAGCTTTATCCTACACAGTTCTATGCGTTCTGGTTTTTATTTCTAGCAGCCATTTCTCAGAAATGTTCCTTGATGGGATGTTTTGGTTGATTCAAGCAATCACCCATTTGGTGATTACGGTTTTAATTGTCCATGAAAAGAGGTTTCGAGCTGCAACCCATCCCTGGTCACTTAGAATTTTCTGGGTTGCAAACTTCATTCTCATTTCTCTATTCGCAGCTTCTGGGATCATTCGCCTTGTATCTGTTGAAGAACCTTATCCTGAATTGAAACTGGATGATATAGTATCCTTCATTGGTTTTCCACTATCAATTGTGCTTCTTGTTGTTGCTATAAGAGGGTCAACTGGGATTATTCTGAGTAGAGAATCAGATTCGATAATGGAGGAAGATGAAGTGTATGACCCCTTGTTGAACAAATCATATGTAACTGCTTTTGCTAAGGCACCTTTAATCTCCAAAGCTTTCTGGCTTTGGATGAATCCCCTACTGAGCAAAGGTTACAAGTCTCCTCTCAAGGCTGAAGACGTCCCCTCCCTCTCACCAGATCATAGAGCTGAAAGAATGTCTCGGATCTTTGAAATGAATTGGCCCAAACCTCATGAGAAATCTAAGCACCCGGTTCGACTCACGTTGCTTCGCTGCTTCTGGAAAGAGATTGCATTCACTGCAATCCTTGCAATTATACGTACCTGTGTCATGTACGTAGGACCGGTTCTTATCCAGGATTTCGTTGATTTCACAGCCGGGAAGGGGAGCTCTCCTTACGAAGGATACTACCTTGTGGGCATACTTCTCATTGCTAAATTTGTGGAAGTTTTGACCTCACACCAATTTAATTTCAATTCCCAAAAGCTTGGGATGCTTATTCGGTCCACTTTGATCACTTCCTTGTACAAGAAGGGTCTGAGGTTGTCTTGTTCTGCTAGACAAGACCATGGGGTTGGGCAAATTGTGAATTACATGGCTGTGGATGCACAGCAGCTCTCTGATATGATGCTTCAGCTACATTCCATATGGCTTATGCCTCTTCAACTCACTGTCGCTTTAATACTTCTCTATCGATGCCTTGGTGCCTCAACGGTTACAACTCTAGTTGGGATTATAGCGGTTCTACTATTTGTTCTGATGGGCACTAAACGGAACAACAAGTTTCAATACAATGTGATGAAGAATCGGGATTCTAGAATGAAGGCAACCAATGAGATGCTTAATTATATGAGGGTTATCAAATTTCAAGCATGGGAAGATCACTTCAATAAACGAATTTTGTCATTCCGTGAATCAGAATTTGGGTGGCTGTCTAAGTTCATGTACTCTATTTCTGGCAATATAATTGTTTTGTGGAGCACTCCATTGTTGATTTCCACAATCACTTTCGGTGCTGCCCTTCTGTTGGGGGTTCCACTTGATGCTGGCACTGTTTTCACAGCAACAACTCTTTTCAGGATTCTTCAGGAGCCGCTTAGGACTTTCCCGCAGTCTATGATATCCTTTTCACAAGCATTGATTTCACTTGGGAGACTGGACAAGTTTATGACAAGTAAGGAACTGGTTGATGAGGCAGTGGCGAGAAATGAAGGTTGTGAAGGTACAATTGCAGTGGACGTGAAGGATGGAGCCTTTAGCTGGGATGATGAAGGTGCAGAACAAGTTGTGAAAAATATAAATGTAGAGATCGAAAAGGGACAGCTCGTTGCCATAGTTGGGACTGTTGGATCTGGGAAATCTTCTCTGTTGGCCTCAATTCTTGGCGAGATGCACAAAATATCAGGGCAGGTCTGAATTTTCTTCTCGATCTTTTCATGTTTGTTGCTTTCCACTTCAAGTCTTGGCATCAATGCTACCTTAAACAGTTTTTGTACTTTTCTGTTTTCTGGGAAAAAGAAAATATTAAGCAAGTTATTCTTCAAAACCTTTTGTGGGAGATTTTTAGAAACCAAGCTACTTGTTTTAAGAAAGAAACAAAAAGTTGTTACCAGAATTCTTAGAAACTATATTGGCTCAAAAATGAAAATAATTTAATGCTTCCCATGCTTCATGTTTTTGGAAACAAAGAAAAGAAATTGAAAACCGAAAACTGAAGATGGAATGCAAATCCAAGCAGACCTTTTAGGAGATATTTGTCTGATTTACTAGTTCTCTGGTCCCTTCTAATTGGATAATAGCAAAAGATCCATTCTGCAGAGTTAATCATAATGAGACAGAGGATTATTGGATTAATACTTACAAATATCTTCCAAATCCAAAATTCCAAAGTTTACACCTTTTATTTAGTTGCTAAAAACTTTACATCCTTTTCGTTCTAACAGGTTAGGGTTTGTGGTACCACTGCCTATGTTGCTCAAACATCATGGATTCAGAATGGAACCATACAAGAAAACGTTCTGTTTGGTTTACCAATGAATAGAGAGAGATACAGGGAAGTTATTAGGTCTGCTGCTTGGAGAAAGACCTGGAAATGATGGAATTTGGAGATCAAACTGAAATTGGAGAACGCGGCATCAACCTCAGTGGTGGACAGAAGCAGCGGATACAACTTGCAAGAGCTGTTTATCAGGATTGTGATATCTATTTTCTTGACGACGTATTTAGTGCAGTGGATGCTCACACTGGCTCAGAGATCTTCAAGGTGACTATACATACATACATACATACATACATATATACATGAAATGTGGCTCACAATTTTCATCATGCTTCTTTGATAGGAATGTGTAAGGGGAGCCCTCAAGAATAAGACCATTCTCCTGGTGACTCACCAAGTTGACTTCTTGCATAACATTGATCTTATCTTAGTAAGTGCAATTTATTATGCAAAAATAAGGAGTTCTTTACCCCCTTGAGTTTTTGCATGAGGTGTTAAATGTGTTTCTTTTTACCCTGGAAAAATCAGGTCATGCGAGATGGGATGATAACACAATCAGGAAAATACAATGATCTTCTGGAATCTGGCATGGATTTCAAAGCACTAGTAGCTGCTCATGAAACCTCCATGGAACTAGTAGAAGTTGAAACTCCCATGCCTGGGGAAAGTTCTCCTAGAACACCTAAAACACCAAAAGTTTCTCGAATGCCTTCTAACCATGGGGAAGCAAATGGAGAAGATAAATTCCTGGACCAATCAAATTCCAATGCCGGCACTTCTAAGCTCATTAAAGAAGAAGAAAGAGAGACTGGAAGAGTTGGCTTGCATGTTTATAAACAATATTGCACCGAGGCTTGGGCTGGTGGGGGGTAATATTGGTATTGCTAATCTCATTGGTATGGCAGGGTACTTTAATGTCCTCTGATTATTGGTTGGCATATGAAACTTCGGAAGAGCAGGCTGTGTCATTCAATCCATCTCTATTCATCAGCGTATATGGGATTATTGCAGCAATTTCTGTGGTGTTCATATTAATAAGAGCCTTCTTTGTTACTGCACTTGGGCTTAAGACTGCTCAGATTTTCTTCAGTCAAATTCTTTACAGCATATTGCATGCTCCTATGTCATTCTTCGACACTACACCTTCAGGAAGAATCCTGAGTCGGGTAAGAATCTGGACAGCAGTTTGGATACTTGAATTTCTTTCCACATTTGTTTTAGACTATAAATCCTGTTTGGAATTTGGATTTGTTTTTTAAAACTGTTTACTGTTTCAGAAAACAACAAACTTGTTTGGCAGGTTTTTTTTGGTTGAAAATTATTTTCAGGAGAAATTTATTAACAAAGGCTTCTTGTCATAAAACAACAAATGTTGTACTTTAGGGTTCTCATAAAGTATTTTAACTTAAAAATGAACATGGTGGAAACAATAGAGTTTTCAACATTTTCAATGTTTTAAAACAAACAACTGAAAACTGAAGCCAGAAAACAGGGTCAGTGATTCAGTGTTTGAATTTGTATTATGCTTCAAGTTTTGTGTTCTTAGTTGTCATTTTCTGTGTTTTTGGAAATAGAAAACACTGAAATCTTGAAAACTCTATTATTTTCATTTCATTCAATTTCAAGCAAAATAGACTATGAAAATTCTGAAAGTAACTTTCTATTGTTTTTGATAGATGGGCATGTTCTCTGAAAGACCTTCTGAAATAGTTTTCTAAAACAACCTTCCAAACAGGTTCTGCTTCCAGAAACAGAAAACTGTTTTTGGGAGCAAATCTAAACAGGCCTGCCTTGTCAGTATTGTGTACTAACAATGTTATTTTTCATCACGCAGGCATCAACTGATCAGACCAACATTGATCTTTTTCTTCCATTCTTTTAAAGCATGGCAATTTCCATGTATATCACAGTTCTGAGTATCCTGATCATCACATGCCAGTATGCCTGGCCAACCATATTCCTTATAGCACCACTAGCTTGGCTGAATTTTGGGTACCGGTATGGGTTTTTCAACAAATTAAGTGTTCATATTTTATGGCAATAAAACCTTCATCATAACTAGCAATTGATTATTTTCCAAATATTGTAAGAAATTTTATTTTAGACCTTGCTTTTTATGTGTGGAAAAGATTAAGTTGATTCTGAGTTAGTAATGAATAAAATTGATTTTGTTTTCAGGGATACTACCTTTCCACATCTCGTGAACTCACTCGACTGGATTCTATTACCAAAGCTCCTGTTATTCACCACTTCTCAGAGAGCATCAGTGGTGTTATGACAATTCGGTGTTTTAGGAAGCAGAAAATGTTTTGTCAGGAGAATGTTAATAGAGTGAATGCGAATTTGCGCATGGATTTCCACAACAACGGGTCTAATGAGTGGTTGGGATTCCGTTTAGAACTGATTGGAAGCTTCATCCTTTGCGTTTTCTGCATTGTTTTTGATCTTGTTGCCTAGCAGTATTATAAACCCAGGTAAATATTTACTAAAATTTTTGTTGAGGCTTTTTGAGTTAATAGGTTCAACTTTTAAACCCAAAAGGCTAGAATGTTAGGGGTTGGTTTTTAACAGTTTTAGAAGTACATTCCTTCGTTTTCTAAATTAGAATTTTAAAAATATGCCTCAAAAATTAAAGTATTTTGCACCTAAAATTGAGTACAACCTTTAACTTGTACTCAATTTTTGAAATAAGTTATTTCACTTATATTTAAATTAAAATTTTTTATTATATATAATATCATATAATAATATATATTCTATTATATATTAAAATATGAAATATAATACACTAAATATATTGTATTATATTATGTTAACACATATAACATATATATGTATATGTGCATATACATATGTACGTATAATATATATTATATATTTATGCATATAATATATAATTTTATTTAATGTACTATTTTATATGTTATACATAAATACGTAATATACACATATACATTCACATATAATGTATTTTATATATATATATATATATCATCCTTAATATTTTAGCTATTTTTCACTTTAATGTTTAACATTTAAATATCATCAATTTAATCCCATATAGCTTCTTAATTAATTTTTTTTATTCATTTGAACCTTTAACATTTATATTTTTTACATAAACATTTGTTTCAAAAACAACATATAAAAGAACAAAATTTCAGAAATATATCTCAAAAATACATGATAAAAGAACAGTATCTCGTTACTTTTAAAGCACTATGCCTTAAAAACATGTATTGGTTTTAAAAACATGTGTTTTTAAAATTAAAAAAGAACAACCCCTTAAAATTATTGGCTTAGCCTAGAAGCCTGGAGATTGGGATGTTGCAACTTTCTCCGCTTATGGCCTTGTGGCCTAGAAGTCCAGAAGTTACAATATGCTGGCTTTCAGGCTTTTTGAGCTTCAAATTTGAAAGCATAAACTGAAAAAGCTAGATGACCAAAGGGGTCTTAGGGTGAAATTAACTTTTAAATTTAACATTGGCATATGGTTTTCACATGGCATGGGGTATGCATCTTCTGATCCACCTGATCTTTGTTTACAATTTATAAAAAAAGATTAAGGCTTGCCAAGCTTGAATTTGATTTAGTAACTTGTTTCCTTCGCTTCTTACTTGATTACAATTTTGAAAAAATTATGTAATTTTGTTTCGCAGCGAATGTTGGATTATCTCTGTCCTATGGCCTGTCCCTCAACAGCATGCTGTTCTGGTCTATTTATATGAGCTGCTTTGTGGAAAACAGAATGGTGTCTGTTGAGAGGATTAAGCAATTCACAAACATTCCTTCTGAAGCTGAATGGGAGAAGAAAGATTGTCTTCCTTCTCCAAACTGGCCTACCCACGGCAACATTGAGCTCAAAGATTTGCAGGTAACTTTGATCAAATTTGATTTGGTTAAATTGGATTAAAAGGTATTTTCTCCCAGTATGAAATATTTCATGCATGGCTAAAATGCTTGCACAAGGGTAGGCAAGGTGTGGTGGCAGCAACAAAGTAGACAAGAAAAATTTTGCAATATAATTGATGTCTACTTCAAATAATCTGAAATTTTAGGTAGAGCATGAGGCATGCTTCACTGTAAACATTGATACATGTTCTCCTTTTTTTTTAATAAGGAATACATATATTTAAAAGCATGAACTGAGCTACAATATCTATTCTCTTCTCCTTTAATTTGAAAACCTTCCGTTTAGGGAAAGGCTAAAGCACAAAACGTTCGATAACGCTTGTATAAATCTTTTCTGTTTGCATATCATTTTACTCTTCTGATAAAGGCACTTTCTTAATCACTTGGTGAACAGGTTAGGTATCGTCCAAATACTCCTCTTGTGCTCAAAGGTGTCACACTCAACATCCGAGGTGGAGAGAAGATTGGTGTTGTTGGTAGAACAGGAAGTGGAAAATCGACTCTAGTACAGGTTTTCTTTAGGCTGGTGGAGCCTTCAGGAGGGAGAATAATAGTTGATGGCATTGACGTTTGCATGCTGGGACTTCATGATCTCAGGTCTCGCTTTGGATCATTCCTCAAGAGCCAGTCCTTTTTGAAGGAACTGTTAGGAGTAATATTGACCCAATTGGGATGCATTCAGATGAAGATATATGGAAGGTAAACACGGCAACATGTTTTCTTGAAACAAAACAGATTGAGCTTACCCTTCAATTCTTTGACTACTTCATAAATTTATAACATCAATCTAAAATTCAATTGTGTATTTTATGATCAGTGTGAGGTCTGCAAAGTCTTCCTTTTCTCGTGATTTCACTTCTTTTTTTTTTTTTTTGGTTGCTAACAGAGCCTTGAGCGTTGCCAACTTAAAGATGTGGTGGCCGCAAAACCTGGTAAACTTGATTCTTCAGGTAATTCTCATATTTCCACCACTAGTCTGCCTCTAATATTGTTTTGCTTTGGATTTTTTCTTTTAGAAACAGTGTTCTATTTTTGTAAACAGTCCATTTTTTCTATTACTGTCTTGGGGATAACTTTTAGAAAACAAGTCCCTTTTTAGAGAGCAATAAAAATTGTTCAGAGAACCCTCACAAACTATTTTCACTAGAAAAAAGTGAAAATGAAGTTGATTTTCAGTATTTTCCATATTCAAAAACAATGAAAATGAAAATTGAGAACAGAAAACAGAATATAAATCCAAATGGGTTTTTGGTTTTGTTCAATGATGCCTACACTTCATTCTTTGTGGTAATTCTCAGTTGTTGATAACGGAGACAATTGGAGCGTGGGGCAGAGGCAGCTCCTCTGCTTAGGAAGGGTAATGCTGAAGCACAGCAGGCTTTTGTTTATGGATGAGGCAACCGCGTCTGTTGATTCACAAACTGATGCTGTAATCCAAAAAATCATCCGAGAAGATTTTGCAGCCTGCACAATCATCAGCATTGCTCACAGAATTCCCACAGTCATGGACTGTGATAGAGTCTTAGTTATTGACGCAGGTAAGTTTCTTTATCTTGCTCGCTGCATCCTTCAACTTAAAATCATGTTTACTGCAAATCTATCTGTAATTTCAGTAGTCAGTGTTGTGTCATCTAAAACTGAAGCGAGTTTTGTAAGTTTTTCTAAGGGCACGTCACAGCAACTCTCCCCCTACAATCACTTTATTTTACTCCTCTTCAAAGTTCTTAGAACTTAAGCCCCTTTAAGTATCTCAATATGGCACTTCAACCCACTTCGTCTAGTTGGCATTGAAATAGATATCGCCAGTCAGTTGAAACATACATATGTTGCAACCGACCTATCCCCATGAGCTCTCTCGAGAAGGAAATCCTTCTTCTAATTCTCTCTAAGCCAAAAACGAAATTCGCTTCTATATATTAAACCTTTGCATATACAACAAGATAAAAATGGAAATTCTAAGGAAAAGAAAAAGGATTGTTTTTATGAATATCTGGATTTTTCATTCTTTGCATAACAGTTTCCGTAGCTCATGTTTTTTACTTTATCTCAATCAGGGAGAGCAAAGGAGTTCGACAAGCCATCCCACTTGCTCGAGAGGTCCTCACTGTTCGGGGCATTGGTTCAGGAGTATGCAAACCGGTCCTCTGGACTATGAGATAAACAAACCGATTTTTACCAAACTAGCTCCTGTGATTTTGCTGCTGCAAACTTCTGCCAGTCTTAGGCGCAGGACGGAACAATTAGATTATTAGACTCCGCGGTTGCTATTGATAGAATATATTTATCTGTATACCTCTACGGTATGAAGCTGTATGTGAAATGTTATAAGAGAACATCATCTGGGTTAATTAATAGAAAACTTATTTTTCCTTAAAGAAATGCCTTACTGGACTCTCTTCATAAGCTTTAACAGGTTTCTGATAAGTTTCTTTGCTGCTGACCGTCCTGCCTTTGGGAGCTTATGCATTCAACTTTTAGATCCAAAAAGCTCGTAAGTCAGGATATTATAGGCCAATCAACCAAACAAGTAATTGGAGGACAACGAATTGTGGTGGGCTTGCAATGTAGAAATTTATTAAGAGCATGTCAAACATTTTATAACAGAGTCTGTTTCAATTCTTTTACCAACAACGATAAAGTAGAAAAATATTTGATATTTTTACATCTTTCTTATAAGTTGTAAAGAATTAATTCTTCTTTTTTTTTTTTTTGGTTAGAAGTAAAGACTTAGTTTTCAAGCTTCTCATTGGTTGTTTAAAGAAATAAAATTCTAATTCAAAATAAAAAAAATCAGAATCCAGTCTGTTTTATTTCACTAAAAAGCCAAACAGAAAGTTGACAAAAGCTTGACTTCTACTCGACAAATAATTTTGAAAAATGCAATGGAGAATCCAAACAATTCCCATATAAACATACATTCTGCATTTACAAAAATTATTGCACGTTCATGCCACCTATTGCACACACATTAGTTTGCAAAGACCGAAATGCGAAATTTCCTCAGCCAGCTAATTATAAGCATACGAAAGGCTTAGATGGTCTTCTCACATGCCCATGAATGCCCGGCACTGCAAGTCCCAATGCTCCTTTGTCTGTTTAACTCTCTCTATCCTCTCGGCCTGAAGCCGCTCCTCCCAATATTCGGGACAACTGGTTCAGTAAACATGATCAGAATGAGAAGTTTTAACCGAACTAAATCCATCAAAAATTAGAATATGAGACAGAATGTCAACGCATACCTTCCACTTAATAAAATACTCAGCTCTTCCAAGTGTACAGCAGCTTCATAAACTCCAGCCTGAATTCACCCAAAACATATTATGAGGGCTTCTGACAAATAAATAAATAAAAGCACAGCTTCTGTAAAAGACTTATCTAAAACCATGAGGGCCTGTTTGGTTTGCGAAAATATTTTCTATTTTCCTTTTCTATATTTCTTTTTGAAAATTATTTTTATTTTAAAATTTTTAAATTTGAAAAAATGCATTTGGCATGGTTTGGAGTTTTCTGTTTACAAAAATGCAAACAAGGAAAAAATGTTTGGTTACTCATTTTCAACAAATAAAAAATGAGTTGAAATTATGGAATTTGAATTTGAAACCTGAAAATTTTAGGGACTAAATTGAATAATGAAAAAGAGATAAGGGACCAAAATAGAATTTCACAAAATTTCCTAAACAGTCATCCCTACCTTCAATTGGGTCGTTATCAGGTCTAACAGACCTGTAACCCGACTGAAGCAATTGTTTGTTGCTAGTTTTTTTGAAGCTAGTGGCAACCGACTGATTGGCCGACCTTTAGCACTAGTAGCTAGTGGTGACCGAACTCTTGTAGATTGCAACAACCGCTCGTGACAAAGCTATCGGAGCTGTCTCTGGGGTTATCTGAGCTGTTTTTAGACAAGTAGCGGTGACGCTATTTGGCGGTTTTATTGGCTGGAATTGGAATGGGTATTGGGGTCCAAATCTGAAAATCCATGAAAGAAAGCGTTCAATTTGGAGGTTTTCTTTGACCAACAGTTGTGGGATCTTGCTTTGGCCTTGGTCGAGCTTGAGAAAGACGACATAGATGGTGGTGATGGTCAAAATAATGCAAACGAGATTGGAAGGCTTTGGACAGTTGTCTTTAGTTTGGCCATTCGAGAAGCAGAGTAAAAAGAAGAATAGAACACCTAAAGAGAAAAAAAAAAAAAAAAAACTGAAAACCAATTTAATTACAAGTTTGCCACCGTGTTTTCAGTTCTACGTAGAAAATACTGAAACAACTTTTTATTGTTTTCAAATTTCAGCCTTTTTAGGAAATGTTTTCATAAAATGAAAATAGGAAATAGTTTGCCAAGTGAATTTTCAGCACCATTTTCTGTTTTCACTAAAAATGAAAATAGGAAATGGTGAAACCAAACAAGCCCTAAGACATTAACTTTTGAGATTTTTCCAATTAATTTATTTAAGACAAAAGCCCCCATCTGCCAAAAAGCCAAAAGCTCATTTTTATTGGGATTCCGTCAATGGCTTTTGGGGAACATACGGCCCTGATTAAAAGATGAGCTTACAATCGTCCACAAATTGCTTTTCATTTCTTAAATAGAGAAAAAGAAAAGTACTACTTGGATGGAGGTTCTCAAACTATGACTACCATTTAGATAAAAGAAACTGAAGCCAAATATTCCATGTATACCCACTTACCTCTCGGCAGAGAGGACATTTTTCCTTTGGCTCGGTGGCCTTTAAACCATCCACAATGGTTACTGAAGCAGCCTTGCAAGCACAGAGATAGCAGAAGATATGACCACAAGTGAGAGCTACCGGATCAAATACAGTTTCCTATCACAGAAAAGGTCAAACACAAAGATCATTTGTGGGTTATATTGAAGGAGAATGGTATAAAACACATGACAATCCCGCTAGACTTGTGAATTTATTGTTGTTGACTCTAACAACCATAATATTCACCTATCGGCATCTGCTTGCTAAATCAAGATTTTTCAGAATACTGTTGTTGGTTTGTTTTCTGTTGGGTTAAGATCCAAGTTAAATGATAGTACTAATAACAACCACGCTTAGCAGTTAACTCTGAATATTATAAATACTAGTTTCAAAATCCATATCTTTTTGCCCCCCACAGGAGACGTTTGATATTCCAAATAAGGTAGATGTTTCAATCTTTCCCATTTTCAGATGAGATAGTGCATTAGAGAAATAAAGCAGACTTTTTCCCAACTTGGAACAAAAGATTTCACTCCATCATGTAATCTATCAAATATGAGCGATCAAGATTGAGAGAGAGAGAGAGAGAGAGAGAGAGAGAGAGGACTTACTAGGCATACAGAACAAGTCATGTCCATATCAAGCTTGACAGAATCAAAAGCTCGCATGAGAGTGATGGTTTTCCATCATTAATTCTAAGGGAGCAGCCATCGAACAAAGCAGGGGCCTTCCTTTTATTCATCTTCATTTTCCTCATGTTTATGTGGAAAGCCATCAGCTCACACAGCCATGGTGACTGAAGGATCTCAATATGCATATTTTGGGCTTGTGATTTGAATGCTTGTCCTTGTTTTGACTCGTGAATCTACAGCCACACAACTAGCTGAAGTAAATAGAAGTTTGAACATAGACCAATTGCACGTCATAATCTAGGTTTAATCCAATTCTCAAATGCAATTCAGCTTGGGTGGAGTCTGCATGGTTTAAAATGTTTGGTATCCTGGCCTTTCTACCTTATAAGTTGGCTTTTTATAATATCAAAAAGTTTTTTGAAAAAATGATGATTTTGCAGCTTGCAGGCTTAAGCCGAAACAGGCAGCAAAATCTTAATTTCTAGCTTTCTTGGCTTTAGAACTAAGATCAAAAAGACCAAAACCAAAGGTACCAGGATATTATAGCGCTTTTTTTTTTCTTTGTTTTTGTTTTTTGGGGCTTAGGCTTTGTAGTTGTAGAATTTGCCTGGCTTTTTAGTTTATGCACTGGCTTTGAAGCCCAAAACGCCCAAAAGTCAGGAAATTGCAGCTTCTCAGCTAGTGGTCAACAGGTTAAGAAGTTGGGAAGTTACAATATCCTGACTTCTGGGCGTTTGGGCTATAAGTAGAATATATAAGCCCAAAAATCAAGCAATAAAAAGTAGAAAACCCATGCTTTTGATTCATAGCCTAGATCAGAAACCAGATAGTTTCCATTTGTGCTCACTTTATTGAAAGAAATGGGCTAAAACATACCTTGTCATACTTCTTAAGGATTTTGCGCATTGCAATAGCATTGATTATAGCATAAGTAACAAGGTCCCGTCCTTCTTGAATTAAGGCAACGTGACTGCGTTGTTTGCTTTTCTTTGAACCACAAAAAATACTTCCGGAAACCTGAAGCAAGGTGTAGTTCAAGCAATTTCTGTGCTCGCTCGTTGAAGCAGCCAACCACTGCAGACATTTCTTTGAGAAGGGATGAGAAGAAGGTTCCATCACAGACTGCAACAAAATCAAGTATAAATTAGAAACGAAGATTCACAGCTACAGCAGATGGAGAAGAGTTAACTAAACACTACATCTTCTTCAAAGTGAAGCATAAATCTGCCATCTGATTAAGAGCCTCGATGATAATCTATGACAATAAACTCATTTGTAAATGTACAGATAAAATATATTAAGTGATAACCATTTATATTTCCTGCAAATGCAACACTGGGAAAGACCCGTCCGTAACTGCGTTTTGCCCTTACTGGACTTCCAAAATCACCAAGCAAAAATAAGTTAATTGGGAATAAACAAACTTTATCTTTCTCTATATTCTTCTCTCCGTCAAAGAAGAAAAACACAAAGCACACAAATTAGAAAACTATACCACAGAAAGAGAGGGGAAAGATTCAACTGTTCGGATTGTTTTCTGTTTTCTACTTTCAGTTGTCGTTCCTGTGTTTTTGAAAACATAAAAAAAAAGCAAAAAACAAAAAAAGAAAAAGAAAAAGAAAAGGAAAGACTAAAAAACTAACTCTATTGTCTTCATTTCCGAGAGAACAATAGTTCCTTAGCATTATGAAAACATGTCTTTGTTGTTCCCCAAAAAGGGCCGGTTTTCTGAAAATTCTTCCAAAAACAGTTACGTAAGACAACCTGCTTAATCGGTTTTCTTTAAACAATCCAAACAAGCTCTTTCTCCACATTCTGTGCTGATTACAGATTCTCCGGCCGCATATGAGACTTAATAATCAATTTAGCAAAGAGTTTACAGGACTGCCTAATCCCATCTACCGAATTTCACGAACTCCCTAAGCAGAGAAACCATAAATGCAAACACAGACGGGAAACCAAAAATCGAAACAAACAGACCGGGAGAAAATTAAGAAAAACAAAATGGGCTTTTAAATCGACCAAAAACGAAGAGATATATTATAGATCTGCGTATGAACCTGGGCATTGGCTGGGACAGGGCACTCCATTCCCGTGCGGGTGAATGCCTGTTCTGCACTTCTTCAAAATCTTCTTCAGCTTTTTGAAACCCACGCCGGGAAGCTTCTTCTGATCCTGACCTTGCATGTACTGCTCGTATGTCTTGCAGAACTTCATCTTCTTCTTCCTCCTGCAACACCCAACTTGGAGACCGATTCTAGATTGTTCTCCTATACGAGTAATATACTCCAAGGGCGACCGAGTGTACGAATAGATTCTGCATATGCCCAAATATGACAAGAATGAGAGGCTCTCTCTATATATATGTAACGGCGTTGGTTAAACGCCGACGAAATTCCAGCATAACTCATAGTCCCCTAACACTGTTGGAGAAGAAGTCAGTCTCCCGATAACATCCTGGAACATCTTTTTTGAATTGTTATTAATTATTTTTTAAAAAATCTTAATATTGAATCTGCCCACTAGTCAAAATGGATAAAATAGAAAATTGTTGCAAATTATTGTAAATTATAACATCATAAACAAGATGGCGGTGGCTGATGGCTTGAAACCAATTCTTAGCCTGCCAAAAAGGGGCAAATAGAGATAATCACCAGGCACTACTAGAAAGCTTTCTTGGGAAAGTGAAGAGGAAAATTTCAAAAGCAACTAAAAACCTGGCCAGGTCAGGATTGGGTTGGCAACATTCAATTCATCTTTATCTTCCTTAACGCCTACGTCTACCGTATTCTGAACGTTTTCAAAAATTTTAGAAATTAAAAATGATTTTTGTACATTTTTCTTTAATATATATTTAATTTAAAAATTAAATATAAAAGTTATTTTTTTATTACCAAACACCCCCTTAGCTGTCGCTGCTATCACGGGAATCCTTTGTGTGTAAATGGGGTTAGACTTTTGTTTTTTCCTCTTTCTTCGTAATTAAAACCATGTAAAAAAATTAAAATTTATTTATTTCCACTGTTTTAAATTTTTGACATATTAAAAATAAATTTAAATAAATTTTATTTTTTTATTAACATATAATTAAAAAGAATGATAAATATTTCATTCTCTTGCAAATTTTGTACAGGGGAACTTTGCTCGTGTTACGAGACTACAAGACGAGAATTTGAGGATCTGTTTTCGCGAGGTATCAAGAAGAAACCTGACTGCGCGAGATGGCGGCACCAGCTGCCGGCAGTGTCGCACTCAAACCTGGCGGGACGATTCCTTGCCGCGTGGAGATTAACGACTACGTACCCGGATTTTCAGAACTACCCTCTCTTCTGACGATAATTACGAAACATGCCACCGCAAAGACACATCTAAAAGTTGGTGTCTGTTTGCCGATAATGCCTCGCTTGATGCTTACGGAATTGATTTTCGTCGTTGGTTGCCTTGCTTCAATCAAATTATTGCCATTCTATTTTATTATCATTTTATCTTCCCAATTATAATTTTGAAAAAAAAATATTTTTAATTTACCTTTTGTCCAAATTTATTTGAAGATATTAATCGAGTAGTTTATAGGAAAGTAAAAATGTAGAGGGCAAAAGAGACATTTAAGTAAACGTACAAGAGGCAATGCATGCCAAAAATAAAAAATAGATAGGGACTGCTCTGCTAATATATAGACGGAAACTACGTAGGGAAAAGATGTACTAGATTGAAAAATATAATTGCTAAAATGAGTATAAAATTAAATTATGTGAACGTGATTTACGTAAAATTCTATTGTGGGTCGTATTGCAATTGGAATTGCCGGGATAAGTTTCATGACCGAACAAGTCAATACCCACACGGCACATTGAATTGGATGGTATGACAGGAGGATGATGTAAAGATAAGGAAGGATACTATGATTTTCATTTTATAAATTTTAGTTTTCAACATTGAATAAATAAAATAATTAAATATAATTTATTTCATAAATAAAATTTTAACATTTTGACATTATTAGAGAGACTGAAAATTTTGTTTGAAAATAGAAGTTCTCATTTTCCTTTTTTTTCTCTACCCAAAAATCTAAATTCCAAACCTAAGTTAATCAAGTGAATAAAATAGTTATGATATAATTAAATGATTTTTGATAAAATGAGAATATGAGAATATAGACGTATGTTGGACAAATTGATAAAATAGAAAATTTTATTTTATCATTATATTTTATATAATAAAATAGAAATATAAAAGGAAATAAAAAAAAAACTCAAAAACAAAAATACCCCCTATTAGAATTTTTTTAAAATTAACTTCTAATATATTTTTAACATATTAAAAAGTTAAAAAAAAAAATTTTGTATTCTAATATTAAAATATTATATATATTATGTATGATATTATATGCATAATATAATAAATTATACGATGCATAAAAACATAATTATACAATATAATATAAATTTATATTTATGTAATATGTGTGTGTATATATATTATGTACGTATATATAATTTATTATAATTTAATTGTATATAACTTACAAGTATTTATAATTTTTCCGGAGGACTTAGACCAAGGAACAGAAATACCCACTTGAACTTGGCAATTTAATTTCTCATCTTCATTGATGATCCCTACTCGCCAACCCAGTTGGGTCAGACACAGTAAACCAAAACAAAAACATGCAAAATCTACCTCCACTTTCCACAACCCAGTGGGGAATCCAACTTTAGAATTTTGTCTTTTTTCTTTTTGCTTTTCAGAATGATCCCAACGGAAGTAGATGCTTAGCATAAACGATTTTAAAACTCATCCATTTTTTATTTTAAAAAAATTAAAAACTAAAAATTGGAAAGCCACACACACACACACTCTCTCTCTCTATATATATCTTTTAATATCTTTATATTTGTCAACGTATAAAGTTACCATACGTCAGCTGTAATAATTATTACATATATTTCTTGTCTTAATACGTAATCATTTTCGTCATCGCTAATTGAGTTTGGAAAAAGCCCAGTATTCCAAATGTATGTACCGAAACCTTCCTACTTCAGAAAATTCTCTAGCTGTCCAAGGGTTCCAACGCTGGGAGGTGCTCTGTTTTTTGAGGTAGAAAATCGTTTTCAGAAAACAAAATACCAAACATTGCTTTAATAAAGCAAAAACAGCTCGATCAATCAGGTTCCTGAAATCAGCATAGACCAAACAGGGGATAAAGGAATCACATGAACCAACACCATTGGCAGATTATTATGTTGCTTTCTGGGAAATGAATAATGCAGTATCATTACAATAATGCAAAATCGTGCTGTAAAGTAAATTTGATGCGATCAAATATGGACGAGTGGGTGGCATGGCGGTCGTCAACATCATGACCATCTTATCAATTGGCGCGAGTGGGTAATTAATAATTGATCACCATTATAAACGCATTATCCCCATAATTAACATCACTAGCTCGTTTTGTTTGGGTGGAGATCAAAAGAGTTCCATTTAAAAAGCCAGAAGTTGATTTCTAGAGTTGGTAAATTTATGTTGCGTAGTCAATATTCGATCATCACAAATTTGAAAAAGTTATAAAAATAAAAATTTGTTTTAAAAATATTTTATTATAAAGGGGGCAATTTCTCACTTTTTGAATATTAATAAGTCATAATGTGTATTTTATTTTTTTTAAAAAGAATTATATTTTTAGAAAGGAATTAAAATATCTTAGATTCTAAAAAGAGCAATCCAATAGGTGAGGTATAAGTAATAAAGTATTTTTTTTTTTATAGAAGAGAATTACGTTTGAATCCATGAAAATACATTTTTAAAGAGAGCATCCACAATACCTCAAATAAAATTAGGACTTATTTGCATGAGCTATTATTTTTTAAAGAAATATTAAAAATTAGTAATCGTAAAAAAGTGTTGAAAGTATAAAAATTAGAAATACTTGTAAATTCGACTAAAAAATAATAAAAATTAATAAATTGATATTATGTTAAAATACCTAAATTGATAGTTCTTTTCAAAAGTGGTATATATGATTATAAAGTAAAATTTCTTTGTTTATAAATAAAATTTTGAAGTTATGAAGATTAATAAAGAAATAAATATTAATAATTTTTTAAATATAATTTTTGATATTATCATTTTCAATATAAATTTTCTTTCAATTTAAAAATATAATTTTATTTACTCTTAAATTCTAATTTGATTAAAATAAATAATTTTATAATAACAAATTTGTTGATTTGGATAAGAGTAAAATAGGATTATAATAAAAATATTAGAATATATTTGTCTAATATAAATTTTAATTATTTATAATTATATTATTAGTTACAAGAAATATGGATTTAAATATTTTTATTTTTATTATTTTTAATTAAATTTTAAACAAAAGTAGCAAAACAAGTAACAATGTAAAAAGTAAAATTGTTGAAAAATAGTTTAAAAAATAAACGTTTAATTTCAAATCGTAAAATAGATGAAAAAATATATATAAATAAAAAATTATACTAAAATTTTTTTTAAAATTTATATTATAATAAAAGGTTTTAAATTGAAAAACAAAATCCAATAAAATGAATGGAGGGAGATTCCCATGATTGCGTTTGGCTCCTCCTCCTTTGCGTGGATGTCAGAGGAGTTTCCTATTAAAAAGCCGGCGGCTGGAAAAGTTAAAAAAAATAAAAAATTAAAGAATTTAATATTAATAAGTCAAAGTGTGTACTTTATATATATTTTTTTTGTGGAAAATTTTAAACACTTTAAAATTATGTATAAAAAAAATTAAAATATCTCAAGATTCTGAAAAGATGAGGCTAAAATTTTTTTTATATTATCATAAAAGATTTTTTAAATTGGAAAATCTAATAACACGAATGGGAGGGAGATACCTGTAACTACATTCGACCCTTATTGACTGGATGGAACGTTGTTCTACTTCCAAAGTGAAGCTCAATTGGCTGGCGTTGGCGACGGCCACGGTAAAAAGCAAGAAATGCGTGTTGTTTTTTCTCTTTTGGTCGACATTTTAAAGGTTTTAACGAGAGCCATCCGTGGTGGTACTGCCACCATGGGTTGTCCACACCTTGTCTGAGTACCCTGTTTTCTGTTTTTAGTTTTTTTTTTTTTTTGGGTATTTTCGGTAGGATTACATCGTTAGAAATATCAAAAATTTTATTATTTATGAAAAAATTAGGTGTGGTGAGATGGAATAATTTTGATAAAACAGAAATGAAATGTAATAAAAAATTTCTAAACATATTTGATATATATTCATAAAATAAAAATTATATATTCATCGTCATATTTAAAATGTTATAATAAAAGTAACAAAGAAAATAAAAATATTATTTAAAAATAATAATACCTTTTATTAAAAAGATTTAAAAATTAAATAAATTCTAATTTTAATATTTAGAAAAATATTAAATAGCTATAAAAATAAAATCTTTATGTTTATAACATTAAAATATTTAAAGTATGTATATAAATATATATATAATATTAAAAAATAAAATTTTGATTTCAAAATACTTATAAATACTTTTTTTAGAATTTCAATTTCATCGATAGAATTTATGGTATAGTACACAATCATAGTTTTTTTTTTTTTAAAAAAAGTTGAACCCCCACCCGAAAAAAAAAGAAAAAACTAATTGCGAGTAATAACTCTTGACATATCGGGTTTCAAAAGAACTCTCAAAATAAGAAGGGGAAACCTAATTTTTTAAATCTAACTCATGGAATATATTAGATTTAACTGTATAATTAACACAATAAATTTATATTATCCTGGTATGATTAATTTTTAATTTGCCACTTCATCATAATAGAACTACTAATAGAACTGCACATTGACTGCCCTATACGAGCGTTCACCAATTTTTGAAATCCAATTCAATGATTATTCTCTTATTGCTAGATTTCAAGTTATAAGAAGACTTTTCCGCGTATCTCGAGTACCAGTGATAAGAACAGAAGAGAGAGAATTCTCTATCCCAATCTCCATTCATATTGTTTAGCAGACCTCCATATCCAACTTCTGTAGAACTATCTGTAACAACTCTATCAGTATTCAATTTAGCCCAACGAACTCTTGGGGGCACATTTTTCCTAGGTCATGCTGAAATCCTTATGCCTGTCCGTTGAATCTATATTTCTACAAAGAATACAAGCTCGCAACCACCCGTTGATAATCCTCCCAAGATCTATGGATCTCAAAAACTTTTTCACATAAATACTCTTATTCCTCTCTAACTTCAAATAAGCCAAAACAACAATAGTCCATTTGTCTGCCCCATCACCCCCAAGAAATGCCTCACAATGCCCGTGAATTTTACAAACCATCCATACCTCCGACGCAATAACAAAATATTTTACTTCGAAGGCAGGGAGAATCAATCTCTGTCACACCTACACGACCATAGTTATTATTATTATTATTATTTTGATAACAATAAGGACAGAAATCCAAAAAGAAAAAGAAAACTAAGAATAATAACTCCCATTTTCTCTGAAGGAGGAGCTCTCTCAACCTTCATTTTTTGGAGTGGTGGGGGGAGAGACGCGACCATTTAGATTTTTTTTTTTTTTTTTTTTTTTTTTTTTTGGTGGATATAAAAACCTCACAAACAAGAAGCCACCTCGCCTTTAGAAAGACCTTTCTCAAACTAATGGGCCTTTAGGGCCTAGTTTTAGTGTTTATAATCCAGCCCAAGTGTATGAATGGCGACACGTTTTGCGACCGGTATTTGGAACCTTCGAGAAGCAATTACCACAGCTCGGATAAATAATTGAAAACTAAAGGTTGTCCAGTTCCAGCCTCAATTAATGTACGAAGTGCATATGCATTTTCCTTGTCCTCCTGTAATCCCCTATTTGGCTTACAATTTCTTTTGTTCCATCAAGGACAAATTAAGTTTAATGGAAAATATGTTAAAAACAAAAACTACATTAAGTTCATTAGTCTTTTGTATGATAAGGGTTTATTGAAATAATTGTAATAATTATGAGACCGAATTTCAAAATTAAAATTCATGCAGTGGTTTGTAAATTATATACAAAGTCGTGACATGACAGTTGGATGACAGAACTTTGCAGATGAAAATGTATTGCATGTCCTTTGATCCTAAATTTTAGATAATTAACGGTTTTTATAAAATGGAAACATACAGGGTATAATTGTTAGCGGCGGAAGTTAATCTCATTCTTTCACATCTAGCAAGGAAAATCCGGAGAGATCGTAAAAGTTGACGACGAAGGATGACGACGGAAACAACAAGGAAACCGGTGATGATGGTGGGGCTGGACGAAGGGAGGAGAGCTTCTACGCCATGAATGGGCTCTCGACCATTTCTTCACTCCTTATGCTCCGAGCTACCCTTTCTCACTCCTCCTCGTCCACGCCAAGCCATCTCCCTTCTCTGCCATTGGATACACTGGCCCTGGTACATATACATATATATGCTTTTGAATTTATGTATCTAATTTTTTTTTTTTTAGAAAATAAAAGATATTACGAACTTGTGTAAGATTGCAGAACCTGCAACTGAGGGGTCATTTCGATGGTAGACCAAAGTCTGAAGAAAACTGCTTCGTCGGTTATAGATAGAGCCACGGAGATCTGCATGTACAAATCGTAATACAACAAATTTGTTTTTTGAAAAATCAAATTTTTATGACCCAATTGAAAATAATTAAAATTTGGGTGTTATGTGGAAAATTCTTAAGTTATTATCCTTTAATAAGCAATTTCATTAATTGTGCAGGTGAATGATGTGTCATCGGAAGTCTCGGAAGGTGATGCTAGACAAGTCCTTTGCGAGGCTGTAGATAAATACCATGCCTCCATCCTCGTCGTAGGCAGTCATGGTTATGGCAAAATAAAAAGGTATGGCTTCCAAATCTAATATATATATATATAAAGAAACCTAAAATAGAAAATTTAATTTTTTTTTCAAAAATTATAAGAAACCCATTTATCATTTATATCTGTATTTTATGTTAAAAACTGATTCAGTAAATTAATAACATTAATATTAATTAATTTGATACTAAATCTAGATTTATTAAGCTTGTAGTTCTAATATTCGTTAGATCAATATTAGTATTTGATACTTGATTTAACGAATATTAAGATTATGACTCTTCAAATTAATTTCTAGTATCAAATATAGACTAAACATATATTAGATAAGTAACTATTAAAACGTCTTATTTAATGGGCTAAAACTAGGACTAATATTAATTAAATCCATTTATCCCAAAAAAAAGGTGAAGCAATTAATTAAATATTAAATTGGAATGCAGGTCAATTTTGGTAGCGTCAGTGACTATTGTGCTCACCATGCTCACTGCAGTGTGATGGTTGTGAGGAAGCCTAAGACGAAGACCAAACACTGATTAGCTTTTGACTTTTTTCATTTTTGGATTTTTTGTTCTTGCCTTGTTCGAGTGAGGAAGATTGGAGTCTTTAAGAAACTATATATTTTCTTTTAAAAATTTATAGCTTTTGAAATTTTGGAATAAAGATGGAGCAGTTGTGTGTTTGGGTCTGAGTGATTTCTTTCTACTGTTGGAAACATTGGCTTTTTCTTTGAACCGGTTTAAATGTTGTTGGAATTAAGGATTTGTTTGTGGAAAATTAAAAACATGTCTCAACTTGTTTAACAGGCCCATCTGGCAAACCTACAAAAAGGTTGTTCTCAAATTTACAAGCCGAAAATGAAAAAAGTATTGTGAAAATACTTGAATTTTTATGATTTTTATTAGGGTTCTCTAAAATCATAGGAAAACCCACTAACAAAATACAAAAATTTAAATGAAAATTTTAATTATTATATCTTTGTGACAATCAATATATATTGCATAGGGATTGTTTGGGTCCCCGATAATAAGAAATGATGGCTCGGAATAAGAATTGTAATACAAATGAGAATGAAGGAGTGTTTGGTAATTTGGTTTTCTTGACTTATAAGGTAAAAAAGTCATAAGTTAAAAATTACAGTGTTCATAACTTAAGTCTAAAAGTTAAGAAAACTTTATTTTTTGACTTTTAGAAATTGAAATTTAAGTACATAAACTTAAAAAACTGAAGCAACAAACACCAAAGTTGGAATCTTTCTACTCAACTGCAACGCCTCCGTCCAAACTCCTGCTCTCTCCCTTCAAAAAATTAGCATACCAATTTGTGCAGAGAGCTTCGGGTACCTCTTTAAATCATCCAGATCCACAAAGTAGAGGCCATAGGAAGAGTCGTATCCATCCAGGAGCTCAAACAGATCCATGAACGACCAATAGAAATACCCTTTCAAGTTGGATCCACTCCTTCCGTGAGGTTAAGTTTGTAAAAAGGAAAGAGATAACTAAATCAGATTAAGAAAGGGAAAAAAAAATAGTAGTCGATTTTAAATATATTTTCCGTTCTCTGTTTTGTTTTTATTCCTATATTTTCAAAAATAAAATAGAAATCTTTAAAAATTTTCTTGTTTTCCGTATGAACTTTACTTTTTTCCGAAAATTCCCGAAAATAGTTTTCAAAATCAGTCTGTCAAAAAGGTTTTTTGTTTTCTAAAATAGAAAATAGTTTTCCACAAAGGAGATTCCTAGAGATCGATGCAGAATCAAGAGGTGTAAAGTAGATGTAAATATAATGACATCTCCAATAAGCAGCTTTTTACGACTTCCTACGGTAGTGCTTTTTTTGAAACGATAATGAGAATTTGGTATTTTTGAGCTTTTTTTTTTTTATATTAATAATATATATCTTTTAATTACCAAAATATGAAAATTTGGCAAATTGAAAAGTTAGTTCATTGTAAAACTAATTTTTGTATAAAAATTAATTATAAAAGAACCGACTTGTATAAATTGAACTGATTTTCTTAAAAAGATGGTGTATAATGAGAAAGTCGATTTAGTCAATACTAATTTTTTGATTTGTATAGACTTCTATACAAAGAAGTCAGTCTACAAATTTGAAGGCAGGTAAGAGGAAGAAGGAAGGAGAAAGAGGAAGGAGATGCAGCTGTCTTCTTAGATCAATTTCTATATAAAAGTCAATTTCCATTAACTGACTTTTTAATTACTCAAAATTTGCATATATTAATATACTTTTCCATATTTATATATTTGATAATCATAAATATATTATTGACATAAATAAGGCCTATATCGGCATAGTTAAAAAATACGAGACAGAAAAATTATGATACTTATTCGTAAGAGTATAATATATATATTTTTATAAAAGTTATGTTTATTATTTAGTAAAAATTACATATTCATTTAAATTACGTTATATAAAGAATATAAGTATATTATGAATAATTTTAAAAATACATTATAAAAATACGTTATTTCAATCATTTATTTAGTGTTGTATAAATATGTTTTTCACATATAAATTACATTTTTTCTTAAAAACATATAATGATTTATAAATAAAATATATTAATATATATTTTTATATGATATAAATAATTAATAACTAAAAAATGATCAAGTAAAATTATATAGACTAATGTATCAAGTTTACTTAAATTAAATAAGTATATCAAAATTTCAATATCAAATCTTGATTAAATAAGATCAATTATCAACAATGATAATTCAAAAATATCAAAAATTTTAACAATCCAACATAATAAATATATCACACACTCTCAAAATAAAATGCTCAACCAACTCATGTTATTTTTACCATAATATTAGTAGTAATTTCTTAATTTTGAAATATTAAATTTTATAGGTAGATATTTTTTATGAAATTCATAAACAACATAATCTAAAAATTTACTAGAATTGTTCAAGTTGATGGGTTTCATATCTTATTTTTCCCAATTAAAATATTTCTCCACTACATTTGGATTGTCTTCATAAACATAAAGATAGTCAAGTGATTTTTCTAACTTTAAAATTACTTTCAATTTCTTTTACAGATTATAAAGTTACATGATTTGATAAAATTCAAAATACATACTATTTTAGTACTGGTAGAAAATCTCTATAATAATCCTATCAAACTATAATAAAAATAAAATAAAATTACGTATAAAAAATATTATTCAAGTATAATTCATATACGTACATTTGTATCATAAAATACGTATATTTTGTATAGTAAAGTATTATTCGAGTACTATAACTTTTTTAGATTTAAGAATCTAATTTTTTTAGTAAGAAAAAAACTTTAAAAAATCCCATTTTCTTGTCTTCTTTGACTCTCTAGACTAAAAAAAAGTCAAAATCAGAAGAGAAAAATAATAAATTGGCAAATTGCACCCAAAAAAAAAAAAAAAAAAAACCTGAGAACATCAAGCACAGCCCCAATGTAACCCTGCACATATTCCACCCTCGATGTGTCGTTGACTGTTACTTTGTCCCTGAGGGTCCGTTGCCCTGTCCCAACAAATTCATCAATTAATTCTTCAATTGTCAAAAATCAATTATTGAAAGATACAAATAAATAAATAAATACCATTTTTCATGGACGTAAATAGGAACGTTTCCATAAGATGATTGATATACTCCATAATTAGAACCAGACCCTCGGGTGCGACCGGAAGAGACTGATCATTCAAACAAACTTAAACGAGTGAAAATGGAATAATTCAATTTCAGAAA